GGTAGCCTTAAAACGATCTTATTTTGGTTATTAGCCATTTCGTCAATAACATTAAGATTATATTTATATTTGTGCTGCCCGACTAGATGGATAAGTTCTGCTTTGACCGTATTTTCATTAAAACTAATGTTATTTGATAGGATCCATTGTTGCATTTCTGCCTTTCTTAGATAACAAATCGTTTTCCTTTTCCTTGAAATAATTATTTCATATGTTATTCAAGAAAACTAATAATAATACAAGCAGAGTATCTAATAGGTGTTGGTTCCAAATCTACCGGATTTAGTTAAGTTTAGTGTAGCTAAGTTTTCAGCAACACAAATGACGAACTGGTTAGATACAGGTACCTGACGGATTCTTTGAGCCAGTGGTTAGTCCATCTACGAAGGCTTGTCTTGCTGATTTAATTGTCAGCCCATACTTTAGGTTATGCATGTCCTTCATTTATTCAGGTTTCATCCAAGTAATAAATCTCCCTACCCTAACATATAAACACACGCTATGTATGCACCGAATATGAACAGCAACTGTCGGCGTCGGCGTGCCGGCGATACCCCGAGCCTGAGTTCCATCCTGTCGAATCCTGCACTTGTTCGTAGTTTTATGGGCGAATGACCAATAGCTATTGCAACGCTCAGGCGGCTGCCGCTTTGCCGCGCTGCATCTTTGTTGTGCCGGGCCGTAAATGGACTACGAATAAGGTGTAGACGGCTAATTCACCAAGCTGGTGAATATCAGCATGAGCGTCGAGGACTGAGTGCAGGTTCACTGATAGACATGGCGACAATCAAAGCAGTATAAACACACAACCAACACCGATGGATACATGAAACGTAATGGCGGCGTAGTAACAGACCGCCCAACAGTGCCTGAGGAAGACGCCGGATGTTGATGCTACACCTCCAATAGGGAGACGGCGAAAAAAAAAAATTGAAGAGAGGTGTCAACAGCAAAACAATTTGCTGTCCGCCGACTCTAATGTAAGTTTAGGGCTAGAGTTAGCAAGTGGTCCTAGGCGGATAGGCGAGATACATTTAGAATGAGGGTTCTATCAGGTGCGCAGATTTCCAATCCTAAGATTTGGTGTTGGCTTGGACAAAAACAGAGTTCCATTGTAAAATATCTTTCGATATATTCTTTTTCAATTCTACATATCCGGGTCTGTAATGGAATATTTTTTGATTGATGTTTACCTGCTCTTCTAAGAACGGGCATTGCTCGAGCTTCGCGAAGGTTAAAACGAAAGGTTGTTCTATTTGTCATGATCAACAGGTGAAAAAAACTGGTGTAATCAGTGGAAGTCAGCTTTTAGTGGTACAAAATGTTGTAATCATTTTAATGAGCTCTTGCTATATGACGCAACTGGAATTTCCAAAATGATGATCGAAATACTTGGAAAAGATCGTAATTGCTAGTAGAGGAATACAGGGTGTCCCAAAAATGGACGTCAAGCCGGAAACGGGGGATAGGCCAAGCGACACTAGCTATCAGAAAATATAAGATGTGTACTTTTCAAATTATAGGCCTCAAAAAAAATCTGAAGAATCTGGAAAATCTACATCCTGTGATGATCTTTTAGTTCCCATGACGACAAGTTTCAATGATTTTCCTAGACGGAGTAACGGACAGTGTCATTCTATGTAGAGACAGTAAGACAGATAGTAACGCCGCTTGTATTGATTCGTGAATGTATTTATTAACATGTTGGCTGCCGTGAGACACAAATGTGGCGTCTCAGGTTGTTTTCGATAACAGCCGAGTGACACACCTTAGTTGTCTCGTCAGAAATTCTGTAATATAGCCGTGTGAGCCTGGGTGGTTGTCTCAGTCCTATATAGGTAATGTGGGACTGAAAGATCATGGCTGTAAATGTCTAAAACTGTTTTTGGTTTTTTTATCCGTGACCTATAAGTGGTTACTCATGGCCTGATATATACGTAGAAAGGTATTCAAAAAGGAACCTCCTTATGAAGTGGAATACAACAAAAAATATATTTCTCATAAATATAGAACAAAAAACATGAAAATGTATAATAAAAACAACAATTATTTTGTGCACTTATGTACCTGGAAAAGACTCAATGCAAAAATATTTTTCACATGCCGTGCACTTTAGTTATGTTCGCGGAGTTTTTCTTTGAGCATGTGCTCGCCCAGATTCTCTTTGAAGTTTTTCATAACAAAAAGCGCATCGACGTCGGTTGTTGGTACCAACATCTTCCAAAGAATGTTGATGATCTTCAAAAATACTATGCGTATGCTGATCAACGTCAAAGCCTAAGAGTCTGTTTACGATTTCCTGCTTGAATTTTGTGATGGACATTTTTTCGTTGGCTACTTCTTGGTGCAAAACATGTGCATTTACTAATGCACTACCAATAAGAAGCTCAATGGCCAGCTTGCGGTACCACTTCACCCCTCTGCGTAATGAGGTGGTATAAGACTTCATTTGATCCGACAATCAATATAGGCTTTATGTTTGTTGTAGTCAACCACAGCAGCAGGTTTTTGCAATTCTTTATTATTGCCAGATCTGATGATTAGTAACTCATCGGTGTGTTTTGTGGATAAGGTAAGCACATATCTTTTGTCCTTCCACTTCTGGATAATTATACCTGAGTTGCTTTCAGCTGCCCCAGTTTCTCCTTTTTTGAGCTTTTTATCAACAACTTGTTTAGGATTCATTTTTCGATTGGATCGGAGAGTCCCAACCAAGTGAGTGTTCCTTGCAAGTAATACACTTGCCAACTCGATACTTCTATAATAATTGTTCGTATAAATTGTCCGTTCCTTGTCAAACAAGTCCTTTGCAAGAGCGAGCACTACTTCTTGGGATGAAGATTTACCCTCTACACAAGTTTTATAGCTTCTTAGGAAGACTGGAGCACATCTGATGAACACCGCAGAAACTAGACTGAGACATCACTGATAGCATTCGCTTCTAATACATTGTTCGGCTCGCACCGGTCGACAGGTCGGTGAGACACAACATTTGTTGCACGCGGCCATTGGGTAAAACTTCATATGTTGAGGACGCGTGACCATGCGGTGGGTCTCATCAAGAAACGTGAAAAAGAATATGAATAAAATTTTTTTTGGGAACACAAAACACGCTAGGGTGTTCTAGAATACTGAAACTAGTATTTGGAAGAAAAAAAAAGGTGGCCCCAGGGACCGATTTTTCTTTAGTATTACGGCAGTCAACGTTTTAAATTCACAACAAATGTTCAAACTGCCTTCCTTCAGTAGCAATGCAAGCTTGATATCTTAAAAATGATCGGGTTATCGAAGGGGCGAATTTTCCGTTATTAACAAATTCAGCTGCTTCCGTTATTTTTTCCCGTAGCTCAGTTAAATTTTCAGTTGGCTTCGAAAAAAATCTTTCTTTCTCTTTTTTCTCTAAAAATCGCTGATCTCGGTGTCTCTGTAACATTGTTTGACAAAACTCAACTCTTGGAAGATAATCCCAGCGATTAGATTGTACTCGCTGTACGTTGTACGGGTGGGGCTCGTTTTTTCGCATGATTCGATGGGCATTCCCGTGCTTGCTTCTATTTGACGTACTGAAGTACTCGGGTCTTTTTCGACTGCACCACAATTCTTCCTTCACCGTGTGCTTGATTTGGGAATCCTCCCTCTGAGGATCAACGGTGCACCTCTAAAAAACTCGGTGATCTGGACACTACACAATCATGAATTAATTAAAGTGGCGTTATTATCTGTCTTTCTGTCACTACGTAGAATGGTACTGTCTGTCACTCCATCTAAGAAAAATTTCCAATTTGTAGTAATGGAAACTAAAAAGTCATCACAGGATGAAGGATCTTTCCGATTTTTTACAACTTTTTTAATCATTTCCTGATAATGATTATGACTTGATCTATCCGCCATATCCGGCTTGATGGCGACTTCTGGGACACCCGGTACACAGATTTTGGAACTTTTCCAACAAACGTTTGGAAAAGTACATGCTTTTTTTTATCGTGATGAGCCGCGTAGACAGAAACCTATATATCGGCACCGGCAACACGTATCTTAAAAAGTGATATTTCGTCGTTTTTTTTATATTACGTAGGTTTTTTAAACATTTCGAAGGTTTTGCTAAAAAATGTCTACTATATGTATATGCACACTAAAAACTATCTAGTCTGCAAGATGACATTTCGTCGGTTTTTTTACGATTTTTTTAGGTTTTTTCTATACTCGTTATAGCCGTGCGGGACGCCGTGACTGCTATATATAAGAATCTTGGGAAAAGCAACCTCAGGCAGATTGTTCCTAAATGTCGACACCCTAGGAACAAAGGAGAGGCCATACCGGCTAGATATGGATGGAAGAAAGAATCCTGGAGGGTCTGTCTAGCAGGCTAAACGCAGGGTGGCATCATGAAGTTCTGAGGAGCAGAGGTGGTTGATATAGCGGTAGGACCTATTTAGCTGGCCAAAACTCAATTTTGTTAAGGATAAGTACTACCCCAAGCAAGCTAAATAGTTGTTGATTCAGGTACAACCCCTCCCCGGTACCTGCTACCCTAATCCGTTAGAATTTCAGTTGAAATCTAGATGTCGTCGTGAGTGTACCTACTGTTTCTCACCATTGTTTGTGTAGCGTTACGTTTTAACTGTGAATACTGTCTGTGTGGCTGTAATTATTGCACATAATTTTAATGGATTCTGAAAATTCAGGTAAGACTGCATATATTTTAAGTAATCGTATTTCTTATCATAACTTTATTAAAAATAAGAGCATTAGGAATAATAGCTTTTATTTAAACACCTTTTAGCGTCTATATTATAATCAGGAAAGCATAAAGTACATTTCAGGGTGCGTTCCTGCTATATTTTTTCATATATCAGACAGAATAGCTCTTTTGCATTATAACTGTACAGAAATCAGCCGCGGTTTTTCGTGATTTAGAATTATTAAATAATAAGGTATAGATAATAGTGTTGTCCTGTTTGAATCCATTTTGACACAAATTCGTTTTTACTTCATTTCAGGATTACCAGATGGTTCCAACACTACACTAGTTACTCGGAAATCTTTATTCGATAGGATGCAACAACAAGACCTACCTAATTTCAACAAAAAATTATATATCTTGTAAACGACCTTTTATTGTGTAACGATTATTCCGATGAAGAAATTAAAGAGATAAAGCATACATTTTCATATTTGAAATCTGAGTTTAAGCAAAGGTGGATAAGAGCACATAAAAAAGAGGATGTGTTCTTGAAAAATAATGACAAATGGTTACAGGGACATTTCTCAATCCCTAAAGGTAAGCAGGAGCGTTCTGGTCGACCGCAAAAAACATTTTTTGAATCTTCTGAGAGAACCAAACGTCGAAAAACAAAATCAAATCGAAGTGCGATGAATAGGTACAGATGTATTGGTGCATGCAGCTCAGACATCATTACAAACTTCTGGTCAGAGGGATGCCTCAACCTTACTTAAAGACCTAACTAAATCTCCGAAGCGTGCTGAGAAGTACAAAAAGGCTTTTCCTTGTTCATGATGCAACTGTAATGGAAAATGCATTATTACCTATCGGGTGGCTATCAGAAGAAGCCGCAGAAGCACGAAATAAGCATTTTAGGCTGTACCGTCAAAACTTTGCTAGGAAATTTTCAAAGGAGGCGTGCAACCTTGATGTATTCAACAGGTTGTTGCTAAGCTCGGATCCTCTCATGAGAAGTATAAGGCCAAAGCCGAAAAAGACAACTAAATCATACTCAAAAGAAGCCATTGATATATTGCTTCTAGCTGATCCTAACTCGATAAATGATTCGGACGCTGAAGAATTTTCCCATTAAATAAATTCGAATTTACTGTATTCTAACTGTATATAACTATTTTATTTATATAACTCAATTATACACAAAATATAACGCATTCCATAATGTTCACCAAAGAAATAATTTTGGCCAGCCAAATACTCCTATGAGCGTCGGTGCGAAAGGGTTTCGGAAGTGTCTGTAAGATAAGTGTCGTCAGTCAGTTGGACAACCCTCCTCTGAACAGTATCGAGTATGGGCAGTCTAGTCGGGGCGGCAGCACCCTATACAAATGAACAGTACTCAAGGTTGAATTTTATTTGGGCCTTATACAGAGTGAGGTAGTTAAGTGAAGAAAAGTACTTAACCCTAAACAAATAACCTAACTTTTCCGCAGCACCTGTTGCGATGCACGAGATGTGTTTTCGCCAAGCCAAGTCTTTGGTGAACTGGTCTCAGACCAGCCGGAATGAATGACGCTTTAACAAAACTCGCCATTCATCAAAACCGGACGAAGGCTAGCGCGCTTCTTGTTAGCCAATGTACAGTACCGTGATTTGGAAGCTCATATGACTGCAGTTTATTCAAATAAATGCGCACCTGGCCAAAGATATGTAGAGCAACATGTTGCAGACTGTTAGAGCGACTAATACATGTCCGAAACATGCGCCCAACACATTCATTCACCTCGATATCTGCATCATGTTGCAAACTGAAAAATTTTGTGTCGAACGATCCTAGCATGATACTTTTGACGGTTAGTCATTTTCTTATAACGTTACGTTTCCAATTCCTTTTTACTTTTCAAGCTACGTGTGAGGAAGAATTGTAATCACGAAAAATTTCAAAACCGAGATACTATGATTTCGGATGTTATATGAAAAACCTCGTCACTCACTTCCGTCGGTCTGTCTGTCCGCTAACTCTTGGAGCCGATATAACTTGGCAAGTACCGGTGTAATTCTGATGAAATTTCTACAGAAGGTTACTAATATCAAGGAAGGCTTAATAGTAATAATAAAGTGGCAGAAAAGTAACTAAATTAAAAACACTCCAATTTCAACCCCTTCAGGGGCTCCGGATCATTTTCAGAAAAAAATTGTAGTGGTCAAAAGTTGGTGATTGGGGATTGTAATGGGTGATTTTTTTGCTAGTATCTTTTTGGCAACACTGTTTTTGACAGATGACGCGTGAATCGTGTCTTATGTCATTGTCAAACTTGTTCAGTTTGGTCTATAATTTAACCATGAATCGACTTCCGAACGAACAAGGCTTGCAAATGATTGAATTTTACTATCGAAATTCATGCTCGGTTAAGAGAGTGTATCGAGCACTGCTTCCAATTTATGGGCAATTTGGTCGGCCTACTGAGGGAGCTATTCGGAAGCTTGTGACTAAATTTCGAACCCAGTTCACATTATTGGACATTAAACCACCAACACGCAGACGTAGAGTGAGGACTGAAGAAAATATTGCGGCTGTATCCGCCAGTGTTAGTGATGACCGTGAAATGTCGATTCGCCGCCGTTCGCAGCAATTGGGCCTCTGTTACTCCACTACGTGGAAAATTTTGCGACAGGATTTGGGTGTAAAACCTTATAAGATACAGCTGGTGCAAGAATTGAAGCCACACGACCTCCCACAACGTTTCCCATTTGGTGAATGAACGCTGGCAAAGTTGGAGGAAGATCCACATTTTTATCGAAAAATTGTGTTCAGCGACGAAGCTCATTTCTGGTTGAATGGGTATGTTAACAAGCAAAATTGCCGCATCTGGAGTGAAGACCAGCCAGAAGCTTTGCAACAGCTACCAATGCATCCCGAGAAAATCACTGTTTGGTGTGGATTATGGGCCGGTGGCATCATCGGGCCGTACTTCTTCAAAGACGACAATGGTCGGAACGTAACTGTGAATGGCGAGCGCTACCGTGCGAGGATAACAAACTTTTTTTTGCCCAAAATGGAAGAGCTAAACTTGGCTGACATGTGGTTTCAACAAGACGGTGCCACATGCCACACCGCACACGAAATAATGGCCCTATTGAGAGGCGAGTTCGGTGAACAGTTTATCTCACGTTTGGGGCCCGTCAATTGGCCGCCTAGATCGTGTGATTTAACACCGTTGGACTATTTCTTGTGGGGCCATGTTAAGGCTAATGTCTACAGGGATAAACCAGCAACGATTGACGCACTGGAAGCCAATATTGAAATATTTATTCGTGAGATACCGGCCGATATGTTGGAGAGAGTGTGCCAAAATTGGACCTTGCGCATGGGCCATCTAAAGCGTAGCCGCGGCCAACATTTATATGAAATAATCTTTAAACATTAAATTATATCGACCGATCTATCGACTCAAATAAAGATTTAATCGTTTTTTCTAACTTTTTGTGTTTTTTTTTAAAATCAATTCCTATATCTCTTAAAAAATCACCCGTTAGGGTTTTAAAAGTTACATCTTTAGTCTTAGTGGAAGATGTTTTATTATTTATGCCGTTTTGCCAGTAATTACTGGCATTTGCCAGTAATATTGCCAGGAATGCATGCTTGCAAGGAAATTGCGAGAAATATAGATAACTTCATTATCTCTTAATTTTTGCAAGGAGCCGTGGTGACCAGGCCACATACAATGCTGCGAGTCTTTCCTTTTTTTTTTGTCTAAGATCTCTGCATTTGTCTGCTTTCTCGCTTCTCTCTTGTGGTTCCCTGTTTTGGCACATTTACATTTTATGTTCCGTCTTTAAATTTAAGCGATTTTTGACATTGGAGGGGGGAGGGAGATATCAGTGAGTTCCAGGTTATGATGGAATACACTGTCACATGCAACACAGTTATGGTGGTTAGGATACTCAGTAGCCATATTCTAGGCTTTCGCGGTTTGCTAGTAATTGCCAGTAATACGGTATAGTACAAGCCACTAATTTGGCCTTAACGTTGTGGCAACACTGCTCTTGACCAATCTTTCACTACGCCGCCATTACGTTTCACGTCTCTGTCGGTGTAACATACTAGGTTGCGTGGTTATAGTGTTTTGTTTGTTGCCATTTATATCACTTAGTTAACCCACCGATTGTGAAGTGCGCTCAGTAATTCTGATTATGATCCAAAAAAGTTCTGCTATGAATGCCTAGAGGTGATGTGAAACAATATGCAGCTCAGGCGCGCTGTTCAAAACCGCTGGCGAAGCCTGCACTGTAGCTGCGTCATACTGCATCACGGCCACGCGCGACCTCACGATACGCCTAGAATACAGGCGCAATTTTCTAAGAAATTACTGGATCATCCACCATACAGCCCTAGCCTAGTACCATCAGACTTTCATGTTTTTTCAGAATTTATGGAATTTCTTGGTGGGAAGAGCTTGGAAAATGGCGACACGTAGAAAAAAGCAGTTACTAACTGGTTTAGCAGTAAGGCGGCAGCGTTTTTTGACGACGGGATCCAAAAGCTGGTGCTTATGTTGAAAAATTAAAAAATGTTTATATTTTAGTTTGTGATACAATTTAGGTTCATACATAAAGTTTCTCTGACTCCATTAAAAAAATGGTTCCTAGTTGAAAACTCGCTCTCGTAGAATGCGCAGCGTAAGTCTGGCGTGTTCGATTGACAGGACTGAAACGTGGTGATAGCATGAAAGAAAGCCCATAGGGAGGAGGAAGTATTCGTATACAGAGATAAGACCTATACTCACCAGTTAGTCTCTCGTACTCCTCAAACACAGCCCTCAAATGCGCGTAGCTCCTAGCACACAAAACAGAATTGAAAGTACTCTCATCAGTACCCATTTGAAGTTCACCGGCTTCAGCTAGTTTTGCAGCATCTTCCCTTGCTTGATCCAGATTGACAGTAGGGTCTTCATCCCTATTGGCTGTGCATAGAGAGACCATCATGCGCTTGAAAGTACCAGAAGTGTCTGCACGAAGATCGTCTTCCAGGGAAGATTCGTACACTGGAAGAAAGGAGATACTTTGTGAAATAGTATAAAGTATAGGTCATTCGTTTCGCATTAATGTGAAGGAGTTGATCTCGGGAAAAGAGATACGATATTCAATGTGTTTACTTGAAAATTTATCTGATCTTAAGATGAACTTGATGGTCAAGGTCGAGTGCGTTAGCAAGAATGCGGTTGAACGTAAAATTGTCTGCAATTTGCATTTCAGGAATTAAAAGTAGATATTTCCCGTCATAAATTCATTTGATATTCGAATGACCTTGATGGTCCTATGTCCTGACTATCCAAGGTCATGGGTATACTTGAACGTAACGTTTCTTGCGCTTTTTGTGTCAACAGTTTTCCAGTTAACAAAACTGTCTTAACTTTCAAAT